AGAGCCGTTCCACAGTTTTTGCTTAGCAAATATGTCACATTATTTTATGCATTGATATTACTGTGTCTTTCTGCCGTATTACGAGTATTTTAGCTAATATGTTTTGTTTTTAAAATTTAAGTCATCCCGGGTGTTTTTTTTTTTTGGCGTTGAGATGTGGTACTTTGTTGTTCCTTACATTGCTAAGTGATGCTGTTGTTGACATGGATCAGCTGTATGGGTTTAGTGAAGTGAGTGGGTGTACCAAAGCAGTTCAAAGCAGCAGTATGAAGTGCTAATATCAAAAAACAATTTGCGATCAAAAATTAACGCCATAAATCAAGGAAGGAACCAAAATGAAAAAGCACATCACAAGCTTAGCAAAAATAATCGGCCAAAATCACACTAACATCAATACATACAACAAAGTCATCACTTTCTTAACAATTAGCAAGTGATCTAAGTGTGAGACCCACTCAGACTTGACATCTGCGGAATAATGCATTTCATATTTGTTTTATAATAATTTTAAAATAATTCCACAATTTTATTCTCAATGTTTTAAATAGAAGCCAGTATGAACTGCACTGTTATACTGGCCAATATCTACAACATAAACAGTAACAGTCGTTGTGTAAATTAACGTACTGTACTCTGATGATAAACTTTCAGAATCCAGAAATGTAGCTGGAGTGATACATCTTGTATGAAACTAATAATTGCATAAAGTTTGTGACAATGTATATATGTCAGTATGTGTACTGACTGGGGAAACACAACATGATGCTTCAATGTAATATCGATTCTCTGGTCTAGCCGATTGTACGTATATATCGTACAGAGGTTTACGGAGACACGAAGGCCAGCTCATAGTACGTATCGCTCCGTGTGCCTCTTTATCTTGTTCTTATTCTAGCCCGACAAACGTTTCCTTCGAGATCGTATGTAACCGTGCGCCTGCTATGACCTGGCTTAGCTGCTGGCTGCAGTGCAAGAAGGAAGAGACGTTATGATAGGAAAGATGGTGTTGGCGACACGATCAGGATTGCGGCGTTATCAGTGATGGATGGATCAGTTAATCCGAATGAAGTACAGTAGCTCATCCATCTAGCAGTCATTGCTACCGACAGCTAACACGTTCCTTCATACAAAGGCCGTTTCCCTGATGTAGCGCTGCTGAAGAATACTTCATTCCTCGTCAACGCTTGTATCTCTGGGTTAAATATGAGCATGAGCGGGGGTACTGTCTAATAGAGTTCTGAGGTGGATGCTGGGGAAGGGGGGGTGATTAGTAGTGGAGGGGGCCCACACGGCTGGTAGATACTGTGGGGAAGGTCTCAAATAAACTCCGTGGTTTTAGTCCGCAAGCGAACTATACCGACCGAGCGACCGCCGCTTGTCGGCGAAGTTGGTACCAACTTTAGCGGATAGAGAGTGTTGCGTTGTCAGCGCAACAAATGCCAACGGCCGTTAATTTCGGTTTTCCAGACCGGAGCCTCTATTTCCTTGAAATAGCTCCACAATTATCCTCACGGGGCTGGGTGGACCCCACTGCATTCCCCCTACTTCTCAGAAAATCTGGTAGCGTTGGGAATCCAACCCGGGCCTCAGGATCTGTAACCAGGAACTCTTGACCACTAGACCACAGAGGCGGTCGTCACGAGGAAGGCTCCATCCTTCGTAAATACTCAGCTACACAATAGGCCAGTCAGGGAACTGAGTAGTTAGGAGAAGTTTTGGATTCCTGGCAGGGAGAGGAACCCCTCCTGGTTATCCGATACGCTTTGCGTTCGTGTAGCCTTCTTTCCAGAGTGTCAAAGCTTCGCACCTAAAACGCTGGGGTTTTACCTCCAGACTCCCAATACACTGCAATGACGCCATGTTTAGGCACAAGGATCGCCTTAACTGTGCGTATACAGAGGTTTGTTTTGTGTTTTGATGCTACAACCTGCCGATCACTGTCACGCGTACGGGGTCCTGCAGCGCGGTAGTGAGGTCACAATACTGTCCGGGATATAGACACGTGTCCGCAATTTTAACGCCTTCACATACACGTATTCACTTCGCCGTTTCTGTTTGTCTCTGCGGCTGTAACAACTCGAGAATCAGTGAATGGATTCACATTAAATTTCATATTGGAGAATTTTATTCAAATCTGCCCATTTGCTAGTTTTGTTTCAAGTCGGACAGAAATAACAGGCACTTTATACAGTGAACTACAGGGAACATCTCCAGCGTAACTCCTTAAACATTTGTTACATCGAAAATTTTTTCGAAACAAAGTTATGAAGAAAAATAAAACATATATTGTGTAGGATTTGAGGTTCTCATAAGAGTGGTTATGAAGAGTTCAATGTTGTGGAATATAAAGCCTTCTAGTCCTTGTAAGTCAACCGGCGTTTCGGAGGAATATTTCTCCATCTTCAGGGTTGAAGAATAAGCCAAGAAAGAAATAAGGCATTAGGTTTCACGCAGATTTCTTGGTTCGCTTTTTTTACGATCGTAAAGATTGAGACATTTTTCCCTGGATCGTCGGTTGACTTTCAAAGGACTATACGGCGTCATATCTCAGTAGACAGAGCTCTTCAAAACATAATTTATTCCCAGTGCACGAAAATCTANTGGTTAATTGGTTTATTTAACAATCTACAAATAACGGCTACAATTAATTATCACAATATTACAGGTTTCCACACTTTACGAACCCTACAACAAAGTCTCTTAACTAGATCTTCACTTGTCTTCACGTACTAATAACGCGGGAGCTATACAAGTCTCCCTGAATTACACACTCCAAATATAACTGTACTACAGCACTCACTAAGTATCGAAAGCACACAACAAGTCTTCCGCTCTCTGACTGCTTAGTTGTCGCCCACGCGTCTGTAACTCGTAACTTGCGAACTCAGAACTCGTTGGTAACGCACTGACTGGCTGACTGTCACAGTACAACTGACTGTGAATAGCCTTCGCTGCTCCTTATGTAGCCTTGATCGGACAATTGTCGTCTGGTGCCCTGTTGCTAGCCACGCTGTCCGGAGTTGTTGACTGCTGCCTAGCAACCGCGATATCCCTCGGTGACGTCACCGCTGTTGATTCGCTTTGCATAGCTTCAAGGTCGCGGGGACTCGGCTAACGTCGGCTCCGCTCGGCTCACTTCGGCTCCGCTCGTGACGTCACCGCGCGTTGCGCGTTGCATAGCTACCAGGATGCGGGGTGATTACTCGCCTATTACGCGAGCGCTACGCTACCGCTACGTGCAGCTGGGGAGGTAGGGGTCAACATGTCACAATATATATATTCTGTCCGAACTGCTACAGCATAGTAATAACACCACCACGGAGAACAGTATATATACACAACATCAAATTTGAATATCCAACTCCACGTATAAACAACCTGAGAGTGATACTCAAAATAACCGAGTATAGCCTTCACACGATGATAGGGTGGTCAAAAAACATGACCCAGATTATGAGAAACATGCGAGCACACAGTTAACCCCACAGCACAACAATCACTATCACAGCGAAACAACACATACGTATATGTAAGATTTGAAGTTCTCACGGCGGTGACTATGAAGAAGGTAGTCTTCTGGGATGTGGCAACGTGTTGATGTGGTTAATACCTTCTTCAACACAAATGTGGATATGCAGTGGTCACGAAGTCTTAAATAAGACTTATAAATACCTTAATCGCCATTTTAATTTTAATTTTAATTTTTGTTCTTTTTATGTCAATTTTAATGTCCAGTTTGAAGCTATATTTGAACCACATTTAAATGTAAGTATATTTTTTAGTATTAAAAATTAATGCAAACGCAATATTAATACATATTGATTAATGATGCAATTCAAGAACTAGTAACAGTATTCTTGTACTCCTTAAAATAACCCAAGAAAATGGTCGAACAAGTAGCGTTACCACCAACAGCTAATAAAAACAATTGTTGACACAGTAACATCTATTTTGTCTCTTTGAGAATTATTGTTGTATAGACTGCCGCATTATATATATCTTTCGTGTTTTATGTTGTGTTGTCCTGTTTATGTGAAGAAGCCTTGCGATGGACTGAACCTTCTCCTAGACAGCCATACCATATGTTGGAAATCGTGGACTCAGCGCGACGCGATTGCGCACGCGTTACCAGTAAGCGCTTCCCGCGGTGACGCAACAGAGGGCAAGTTTTGCCTAACACATAACGATGCAGTGCCTGAATCATAAGAGACTGCAGGGTCTAGATCTGTTAGGCTGTAGTTGCAGATCAAGTTACACATTACTGGTGAAAGTTTGCGTGTCATACGTTATTAAACGATGATTAAAGAACTAATCGGGGGTTTGTGACAACGCCAATTAATAATGTTACTTTTCCTTAGACATGCACCTCCCCAAGTTCGCTGTTTCTACCTGTACTCCAACCATTATCATCGCTAAGGAAACAAAGGCGTCTGATCCGTATTGTCATTAGCTCGACTCGAGTGTCGCAGCAACAGATATGACAGGGAACAGTCTCCTAAAGTAAACACTTTCCCTAATACACAGTGCTTGTTGTCAGCCGCCCGATTAAGTGCGGGAGCTAATGTATTTTGGAAGGGGATGATGCACTTACGGATATATTGTGATTATGATCATCAGAGGAGGGAAGCATTTATGAGCCCTGTTTTTTTTTTATTGAAGAGAGGGAAGGAAATGAACTCATAATTTGTAACGAAGCCACGTGCTACGAGAACGATTAAAGAACACTGACGGTTGTAAGGCGACCAGCAACAAAACAGGTAAATCATAATGAGGTGTATAGTTTACGTCGGTCTGCTTGTAGTATGAATCCTTTATGAGAAAACAGCGGAAGTTGCACCTGTATAGACGCGATCCGCAGCCCCTCCAGTAGGGTACCTTTAGTGTGGGTGATCAGTGGCAAACATACTGACGCCACGAAAGCCTTCTTCATCTCGGAGCGGTCAGCTCCACGGTCCGTCTGCCTTGTTCCCATATTACAGCGGCACGTTTCTTTGTTTCAGGCAGCAGTGACGAAGGCGACCCCACGCCCACGGTAGAGGCCGAGTCCATGGAGGACCCGCTGACAGTGGGACCGCCTTCACGTGACTCACAGATGGCTGCAGCAGACGAGGAAGCCTCGCCAATAGTGAGGCTTCGCGCTCATCATGAACTCATGACTACCCATGTCCCACCGGAGCTCGAACTCAGGGAACCTGGTTCCGGTGTGTGGACGAGGCAACATGTGTCCCGGGGAACCCGTTACGGACCCTTCCTCGGAAAATGGACACCGGAGCCACTCGACCCGCGATACGCCTGGGAGGTGAGTCTCTGGCTCTGACTTCGGTCAGGCCAAGTGAGAGAAAATTACAGTTTTACTTAAGCTACGGAAAGAGCCCCAAGGATCGAAGCCCTCCACATGTCCATCGAGTTGTTAGCTGTTAGCTTTTATGCTCCCTCGCCCACTCGTCCCAGTTAACTTAGCGTTGCTGAACCATTTACAGCCGACAAACATCTTGGTCGCAGCGTGAGGCCGCCAGTACACGGGTTGTCATATCGAGCCTGGTTCGCTAAGAAACTGCAAGAGAAACCACCAGTTTTACTTCACTCGACTTAACGCGATGTAACAGAGGAATTACGGTATGCAAAACAATAGGCCAGCCTCTGCAGCATCTAAATGAACCCGGCTCCGTTAGAGAGAGAGCAGCCTGACACTCCGCGTCCCCCGTTGATATGACGATTTCATTTTTAATAGCTCAGTCGTTATAACGACGGGCTACGGGCCGTAAGGCCAAGTTTAGATTCCCGGTAGAGGCAAGAAATGTTTCTGTACTTCACAGCTGATAGACCGACTCTGTGGCCTGCCCATCTTCTTATCCATTGAGTACCGGGGCACGCGGTACCGGAGTTGGTTGAGGCACTATGCTGCAAGCCGCAAGGTCTGGATTCGAGTCCCGATGAGGTGGATTTTTTTTTTCAATTTACCTAATCCTTCCAGCCGCACTGTGGCCCTGGGATCGACTCAGCCTCTAACAGAAATGAGTACCAGGAACTTTCCTGGGGGGGGGGGTAAAGGACGGCCGGCGCATAAGGCTGACAACCTCACCGCCATCTGTGACCCGATTGTCTAGAGAAAGTATAGGAGCCTCGACGTCTTACAACCCTGTGGGTCTTCACGGTCTGTTATATGGACAGTTTTACCTTTTTACCTTTTACCGGGTCTCTTTACCAGGGGGATAAGCTGAAGGGACGTGAAGCTGACCCTTAACCTCCATTAGGGCCTAGCTCAAGAAAGGTGGAACGATACCTTTGCTCCCCCATACGTCTTCATGGCGTAGTACTTCATTAATTAAGCACAGGGAATCTTCCCATTACCATTTGCTATAAATGAAAGGTACAAAGAGCGTTTCAGCTTATACGTACTTCATTAATTCCATTCCAAAAATTATGTGAGCTAAAATTTATTCGCGTGTTCATTCCTGTTCCTTATATCTCTTGATATATCTTCAGTGCAATGACATTTATGTATGCCATTGCAGTCTGTTTGGAATGCAACCCAGGTACCTCCTGGTGAGGTTTCACGTACTTCTTTGTGGTACATGTGCTCTGCCCCTGTTTGGAACCACTGAATTAGCCATACTCTTTCTCACGAATGTTGGGAGTGGTATAATCCTCATTAGCAAAGAGGTATTTGGGCTCCATGACAGGTCAAAGGAGGCTAGAGGAGAATATGACACTCGGCAGAGGGAGGGAAAGCGTCATCCGCTGTTATCCCCACCACGAATGGGACTTCTTTCCTTGGACTCAGTGTAGATCTTACTAAGATCATAATGTAATTCCTCAGGCAAAAAACTCCGTGGTTTTAGTCTGCAAGCGAACTATACAGATCGAGCGACCGCCGCTTGTTAGCAAAGTTAGTGCCAAATTTTGCGGATAGAGGTAGTCGTGTCGTCAGTGCAACGGTTCTAAATGGTCGTTAATCTCGGTTTTCTAGACCGGATCCGCTATTTCCTTGAAATAGCTCCTCAGTTATACTCATGAGGCTGAGTGGACCCCATTCCAGACCCACTACTCCGAAAATTTGGTAGCACCGGGAATCGAACCCGGACCTCTGGATCTGTAACGAGGAACTCTGACCACTAGACCACAGAGGCGGTCATTCCTGATGCAAAGTGTCGACAAATGGCTGTAGCGGCAGTGAAGTGGATACTAAGCAAGTATTGAGTTTCTGATAGAAATGCAAATTTTGGAGTCCTGATTTATTATTTTCATTTACTATGGACAAAGCCAAACACAAAGTGGATTCGTAACCACTGGAGTTCCGATTTCTTGAATTAAAGCACACGGCCACTAGGTACCACGTGTTTTAATATTAAGATTCTCTGTACTTCTCCCACTCAGTGTATTTATAGGTTTCTTCAGAATAAATACCTATTATATACCTCAACAGAATCAGCCGGTTAATCTTTGTAATGTAGATGGAGTGTGTTATCTCTGATGTAGGAATTGATTGTATAGATATATTATTTAGATGCACTTCATGCTTCAGATGGTTAATGTATGTTTGAAGAACATGTCACTGTTTGAATTATCATGCCCAAATATTATTACCTCTAGGCTTTCAATATACGTAGTAGCGTATAGAGAGATCTGTCCTGTCTTCGTCTGCATTCCTTCGTCCCTTGTCTGGTGTAAGACGCTAATAACTGGCATTTTGTAGTGTAATAGCTCGGAAACCACATGATTCACAAGACGGTCACCGTGTATCATATGCACTTAAGAATGTCGTAATGAATTAGTAATTTCATAATGTAAGTACCGTTTACTTACTTCCTTACTCATGGAGCTGAGCCCTTCTTGAGTAGCCGCAAAATTGTGCAGCTACTCAAGAACTTCCAAAATTGTTGGTACCCGAAGGTTCATTACCGTGTTCACAAGAGTCGTACACTGTTCCCGATTCTGAGCCAGATCAATCCAATCCATACCATTCCATCCTATCTCTCTAAGAACCATTTTAATATTGTCCACCCATCTACTCCTTGGTCTTCCTAATGGTATCTTTCCCTCTGGCTTTCCCACCAATATCCTATATGCATTCCTCTTCGTCCCCATTTGTGCTACATGCTCTGCCCATCTCATCCTCCTTGACTTGATCATTCTAATTATACTTGGAGAAGAGTACAAGTTATGAAGCACATCATTATGCAGTTTTCTCCAACCTCCTGTCACTTCATCTCTCTTTGGTCCAAATATTCTCCTCAACACCCTGTTCTCAAATACCCTCAGTCTATGTTCATCCCTTAATGTCAGAGACCGAGTTTCACACCCATACAGAACCCAAAAGGATAGTTTTGTATATTCTAATTTCTAATTTAAATGTCGTTTACTTCAATAAATCTGCCGGGAAAGAAGGAACACTTACCCTACAAAAGTACCTCGTACAGTTTTGTCTGTGCGTAATTACATAAGCACAACACCATGAAGAAGTAAACAGAAATGGAGGTATTGCTCCACCATTCGTGATCTGGACCCCAGATGGCTGTTAGTGGTCAGCTTCACGCCTAGGTCGTTTTACGCGCGGGAAGGAGCTGTCGGTACTTACTGTGTAAGTCTTGGAGCACCGGTATACACGGTGTGCAGCAGAGAAAAGTCTCTCAGCCTTGCCGGGAATCGAACCCCGGCCATACAACCCATAACCCGTTGCTATACCAACTGATCTATTAAGACTCCTTCTGTAGTTACAAGCAGGCTCAAGTATGTACTGTAGTATACACAAAGCGTTTCAAGTCAGTGCGAATGACTGATAACGCCATACAGAGGTCCTTTAAACACACAGTTTGTCTCGCGGAGCTCCCTGGGCGTCACTTTGGTTTCCGACTAGAAATAAACGTACTTAAATTAAACATTTAATTCGACGTGATTATAACTTACAGACTCATTTTGACTTTTTTTTTAACTCACCTCTTAAGTTTTATACCAGTTCTAGGGCACATTATATTAATAAATAATAAATTTTATTAATCCCTAATTTAATAAGTTTTAACCATAATAACAATCCTGTAACATGAAGATTTTGCTCACATATTTGTTTACATTATCCAAGGTACATTCCATAGATAATAACATCTACCAACTGCATAATGTGGATCCAAATTAGGGCAACCCAATTCAAGAAACTTAGTTTATGTTTTTATGGAACGTGCGTGATGACCTACTAGTAGGTCGGAACATGTAGCATACTCCTGTGCATAATAAATATATAAGAGATACAACAGCATCTATTTTGTCTTCTTATGGAAGATACCTATTAATGTTGTTTTGACGATCTAATTTACATGATTATAAATTATTACTTACCCCTGGGAGATACAGTTGTTCCCGTGATGAAGCCCGCGACCGCGAGGTTGAACAGCAGAGGAATCTGGAATGTTACCAGCCAAATATGGTAGTGTGAGTTTGTGGAATTCACAGTAAAGGCCTTGAGATTTATCCTTTCAGCAAGTTAAAGAAGTTACGAAATATTCTCAAAGAACAGTTGGAGCTTTCATTCCGTTTTGTTTAGCTATCGCGAAAACCATAGCACTTGCCGCAAATATCAGTCAACATACAGAATGTATTCTGTTTCCCTGGAAACATTTTCTCCCCGAAAATTTTTTAGCAAGTTAAGCTCAAGTTTCGAGCAGGTTTTACGAGCCTGCCAGTCTGTCAGACTTTCAGATGATAGGATGAGTGGTAAATAAAGAATTGGAAAAGATTTGGAAGGATGTGATAGTAGAACAATTTAGGTACTATTCAGTCATGTAGGGTCTGAGAGGAACCACGAAACAAATCAATGAAGGAAGTGAGTGCCCCGGCCAAGGTTCGAATCGCGTACCTCCTAAATACAAGCCTACAGCTTTCCTCCTGTAAGAACTTCCAAACGTAAATCCTAATGCAACTCATCCGTTTTGTTCTATTCGAAGCAAAACTGGAGTATGTCACAATTTTACCAGAATTGCACAATATTCGATTTCATGAGCAACTGTTAGCGGTTATCGAGTTTAAAGCGGACAGACAGACAGACAGACAGGCGGAGCGATTTTAATAGCCATTCTGTAGGGACGCCAAAGCGCTGGACACCAACAGAATATTGTTTGTGCCCCTGTTACGGTTTACGCCTCGTCACGTGTTCCGTCACGGATAAGGGCTACATATCCTTCCGACTTCATTTGAAACTTCCCGCGCATCTCCAAACGCTACGTGATATAGCGAACCAGAGCGATCGAATTCTTCGACTTAATTTCGAACTTTCTGCGCATCTGCGACAAACCGTTTCGAATTAAT